CCTTTTTTTCACACAAATAGAGCTTTCTTTCGGTGGTATTTGATCACCTGTACGCTTTTTATTTTTCATGCTGTAATAAAAAAAGACCAAAAATTTTGAAGAAAAACAATATATTTTTTTTTACTTTCAGCTATAAAAAACAGTAAAAATATAGTAAACTCAAAGTTGGTTATAAATTTAGGTCAAAATGTATTCTGCTACATGTTTATGGTAAAAAAAAAATCCCAATAAGTGTATATTGATTGGTTTGTGTGAAAGTTATAGCATCTACAAACTATGGTATAGATACTGCAATTTACGCCATGCGCTAGTTTAACGGACAATTGCGCGGTCATGCAATACGGTACATAAATGAAATTTACATCCTTTGTTTTCCCACAAATTGAGCTTTCTTTCGGTGGTATTTGATCGCCTGTGCGTTATTTTTTGCACTATAAAAAAAAAGGCTGACAATTTTGATAGTAAAAAAAAAAAAAACAATATTTTGGACTTTTTGCTATAAAAACATGTCCAGTAAAAAAAAATGTAAAAATCAAATTTAGTCATAAATTTCTGCCAAAATGTATTCTGCGACATGTCTTTGCTAAAAAAAAAACCCCAATATGTGTAAATTAATTGGTTTACGTGAAAGTTATAGCGTTTACAAATGGCGGGAAAGATACTGGGATTTTTAATTTTTTTTTATACTAATAATGGCGGCGATCAGTGACTTATGGCGGCGATCAGCGACTTATGGCGGGACTGCGGCGGACATTCTGACACTGGGGGGGAACTGACTTGGGGTCACTGACATCCCCAGTGACACCAATACAGTGATTAGTGCAAGAAAAAAAAACACTGACACTGTACTAATGGCACTGGGGAGGAAGGGGTTAACTTTTTTATTTACTAAAAAAAAAAGGGGTTAACTGTGTGAGGGGAGTGTTTTTACTACTGTACTAATGGCACTGGGGAGGAAGGGGTTAACTTTTTTATTTACTGAAAGGGTTAACTGGGTGTGTACTGCAGGGGAACATACGCTGATCCAGAGAGATAAACTCTTCTCTCCGGATCAGCATGTCAGGAGCTGACAGGACTGACAGAAAGCACGGCTGCAGTGTAAACACTGCAGCCGTCCTCTCTGTCAGTGATTACCGCTAATCGCCAGGACACAGTAGGTAATGACTGGCTGTGACCCGGCGACTGACAACCGCGGCCATGATCGGCGGGACGAGTAGGGCCTTGCACGTGCCTCGTGCGCCCCTCACTGTTTTGCAAACGCATGTTTTAAAACGTGGTTTTGCCCAGCCGTGCCGACTTGCCACCGTATTTCTACAGTGGCTGGTCAGCAAGAAGTTAATCTGATAAAAGGTAAGTGTGGAGACTTTAACTCTGCTTTAAGTAGACTTTTGTTCAAAGACGAGCCACAATGTGTGGCTCTGATGAAGACGGTTTGCCCCTGAACCACGTTAGTCATTTATTTATGACTGAGGCAGCCAACATTTTTGCTATGAGAATTTGCTAGTTGGACTCCTGTACCTGTTGTATGAAAGATTTTCCATTTGGATTTTTTGTTACGTGTGCTTGCATCAATCACTTTTGTGTTCATAAAAACATATTAAGGATTTTACACAATGGTGCTTTTACACATGTATGTTTTGTAATACTGTTCAAGGATTTCCAACTTTGCAGGGAGCTGCAAAGCCATGAACTTTATTTCGTATCCAGTAGTTTTATGGGAGACATTTTGAGTTGTTTCTGGACACTAATGACCTCTATAATTGATATCCTTTTTCACACTTTTGTGCTGATGGTTATATTTATAGCAGAACTACATGTAACTAATAGAAAACTGCGAGCAGGCAGCTCCTTATTGCAGAAGACACATGCAATGTCTCTTCTGCAATAACAAACACTTACCTGTAGACATGTGCGGTTCTCAAATTCAAATTTGGACAAATGTTTCGTGTTCTGAGATGTATCAGGATTTCCAAATTACAATAGTAATGAATCCGAAATAACGAAGCAAGATTCAGACAAACTTCAAACCGAATTCAACTTGAATACGAAAAGAATAGAACATAAAAGAATAGAATAGATTAACATAGAATAGAATAGAAAAGAGTAGAATAGAAAAAAATAGAAAAGAATACAATATAAAAGAATAGAATAGATTAAAATAGAATGAAAAAGAATAGAATAGAATAGAAAAAAAAAGAATAGGAAGAATATAACTGTCTTTCAAAATTCAAATTTTAAATAGAATAAATTAGAATAAAATAGAAAGGAGTAGAATAGAAAAGATGAGAACAGAAAAGAATAGAATATAAAAGAATAGAATATAAAAGAAAATATAAAAAAAAATAGAATAGCATAAAATAGAAAGAATATAACAGTCTTCTGAAATTTAAATTTCAAACAGAATACATTTGAATTTGAATAGAATAGATTAGAATAGAATAGAAAAAACAATAGAATATAATTTTAATAGAAAGAATATAACTGTCTTTCAAAATTTTAATTTCGAATAGATAGATTAGAATAGAAAAGGAAAGAATAGAATAAAAAAAACCATTGAATAGAATTTTAATAGAAAGAATACAACTGTCTTCTGAAATTCAAATTTCAAATAGAAAACATTCAAATTCAAATCAAATAGATTAGACTAAAATAGAAAAGAATAAAACAGAATAGAAAATAACAATAGAAAATAATTTTAATAGAAATAATATAACTGTCTTCTGAAAATCGAATTTTGAATAGAATAAATTCAAATTTGAATAGAATAGATTAGAATAGAATAGAAAAAAAAAGACTAAGATAGAATAGAAAAAAACAATGGAATAGAATAAAATAGATAGAATATAACTGTCTTCCGAAATTCGAATTTCTAATAAAATACATTTGAATAGAATAGATTAGAATAGTATAAAAAAGCATAGAATAGAATAGAATAGAAATAAAAATAGAATGGAATAAAAAGAATATAACCGTCTTCTAAAATTCACATTTCGAATAGAATAAATTTGAATTTGAATATATTAGAATAGAATAGAAATGAATAGAAAAAAAGAGAATAGAAAAGAATAAAATAGAATAGAAAAAGCAATTAAATAGAATTGAATAAAACAGAAAAAATATAACCGTCTTTCGAAAGCGAATGCCAATTCAAATTTTCCAAATTTGGTCGAATTGAATTCGTATTGAATTGAATGTGAAAACAAAATGAAACGCATTCCAAAAACAAATTAAAACAAAATTATTTAAATAACGAATCAGAACGAAACAAATTTTTTTGTTCAGAACATGTCCACTCAACTGCCTGCTCACAGTCGTCTTTTGAATGCACACATGATTGCGCGTGGGCAGGTCACCATGCATTCCCTGCACACTCCAGCTGTGAAATGTACAAAAGTGCATGTTAGAGCGGTGGCAGTGAGTGCAGAGGTCAGGACTGACCATTTAGCCACTCGGGCACTGCCCAAGGGCCTGGGTCAGTAGGGCACCCTATGAGATGCCCCTGGCAGGGACAGACTGATCATTTGGAAGCTCGGGCACTGCCCGAGGGCCCGGGGTCAGTAGGGGGCTCCATGAGATGCCCCAGGTACCTTTTTCATAGGCTTTTTTGAGTTTGGGCAAGGACACAGGGGCCCCATGATCCCCTATTGCCCGGGGGCCCCATGAGTTGTCAGTCCGCCCCTGGCCACTGGTACCTTTCATAGGTCTTTTTTGGTGTGGTTTGAGGTGTGGGTGAGGACACAGGGGCCCCATGATTTCCTATTGCCCGAGGGCCCCATGAGTTGTCAGTCCGCCCCCTGGCAGAGGTACTGCATTTGTTGAATAGTGAAAAAGCAAAAACACACTAAATGTGTGGTTGTGTGTAAAGAAAAAGAACTCTGCATATTTCCTATTCAGAAACAAGTGTTCCTGGAAATATCCTTATGCACCCACACTTTGCTCAGTAGCACACTGTACCTGAAAAACTCAGTGTCCCATATCCATGATCTAACATTCAAGTGTCTTTTTTTTGTGTAACAGCAGCAAGGGGTAGAGCCATTTTTTTTTAGAGATTGGAGTTCTTCAGGTGGCAAAATGTAGACACCAGGGGCGGACTGATCATTTGTAAACTCGGGCACTGCCCGATGGCCCGGGGTCAGTAGGGGGCCCCATGAGATGCCCCTGGTACCTTTTTCATAGGCTTTTTTTGAGTTTGGGCAAGGACGCAGGGGCCCCATGATCCCCTATTGCCCGGGGGCCCTATGAATTGTCAGTCCCCCCTGGTAGACACCATAGTGGCAAACATTTGAAGGCCCTGCAAAACCTTACTATAAAAACCCCATAGCTACATGCCAGGTGTAAATGAAGATAATGCTGCTGCAACATTGCAATGAAGTGTGCTCTGTGAAGTGTCTGTACTCTGTAAAACTGTGCACATTGTGTAGCAGGAAGTAATGAGCTCAGGTTCATCCAGAGCTCCAGATGTCTGTATGATGCATGGGTTTACTTTGTAATGTTTTACATTTCAAATCCCATTACAAAGGCCCCCTGGGGTGCGCACTCGGCGGATCGCTGTGTCCTACTGACACGTTTTATATTGTGGTGATATCAAAGGTTAACAATATTCAGTCTTATGTATTTCACTGTGTTAATGGCGCTTTCATTTGACTGTGTCTTTCAGTCCCATAAAACATATTCATTATAATTTTATAGTCTACAAAAACAAAAATTCAAGGACTTTTGTCATTTCAAGTTTTAAAACATTGCTTTGGTGCTGCAGGTATTGGGTGGTGTTTCTGTTTTGTCTGACATTTCAAATTAACTTCAAGTGTTACTGCCTTCACTATATCTGGTCTCCCACAGTACACACAACATGGAAATTCAATTATTTTAGTAAATATAAACTGCTAAATACCTTTTCTCATCAGCAGTTAAAGCAGTCTTGTGACTTCTATCAGTGTCCAGCAGAGCTCTGGTTAAAGCTTGTAGGAGGAGTTTTCATTTTGCTCTGGTAGGATGCAGAACCCCTGACCTCTGTATGGACAGTGCTGATTGGCCCTGTGCTGATCACATGCACTTTCCCCCCCCCCAAAAAAAAAAAAAACTCTAGCAATACACACCAAACTTAGCATGTGTAGAGTGTCGCCACACAATATGTCTTATCAGGTGGTAAAAGGGGGACGGATCCGAAAGAAGGGGAGGATCCGAGAAATCAGGATCAAACAATGTTTTTACAAAACGCAGAGGATTAACACAACACAGAGGTTCCATAGTGAGTATAACAAGCATGCTTTACTGCATATACAGACTGATTTTATTGTTGTGGCCTTTAATAATACTTTAACCCCTTGCCGACTGCAGATAGCCGAATGATGGCTTCACTGCGGCCGGCCAATTCCTCCCAGAATGTGCTCTCATGCGTGCCCCCTGGGGTGCGCACCCGGCGATCTCCGTGATCGCTGTGTCCTACTGACACAGCTGATGACATGTTATGGTAAAAGGCCAATCACAGCGGCCTTTTACCACGTGAACAGCCGTGTCCAATGACACACTGATCATCGGGAAATGCAATTGCCGGTTATCGGCTGCACTTTCCTCACACGCTGTCACAGCGTCTGCCTGTCTTATATGATCTCCTTTCTCCCTCATTGGCAGATCTGTGACTATAAAGCTTCTGTTAGCCTTCCCTTCTAAGTGAGCCAAGACACACAATCAAGGCTGGAAATGTACATATTCTAATTGTAGAGAGTGACATATAGTTTTTGAGAACAAGAAGAGGGGAGAGTTTCCAATTTGGAATTGACTGCTCTGGGCTTCAACAAAATGGTGGCCTCCAGGAATAAAAAACGGGAGTAATGCTGGAGGCAATATACAGCAAACACTAATCTTGGTTGCATAATTATTAATGTGGAATGTATGTTATTTTGTTAAAAAACATTCATTGTTATCAAACTGTTATGGGCAAAGTTCCACTTTAAAAGCATTATAAACCTTTCTACCAGCACCTTGTGTTTTACCTGCATAAGATGTGCATTGATCATGTAGTTTCAGGGTGTCCTTTGTTGTCCTGCATGGTCAGCCTAAAGCACAGCAGATCTTCACAATCATTTGCAATTTCCGTTTGTGTAGAAACATGAAGCATGTGGCAAGGTACTGCACAAGTTAATGCATGATCATTGTCTGTAGTCTGAGAACTGATACATTTTTCAAAATTTTTGTTCAGTTTTCATTTATATAGAAAAAAAAATAAAAAAACAAGTTGTGATCAAATACCACCAAAAGAAAGCTCTACTTGTGTGCCAAAAAATGATAACAATTTAACTTGGGTACAGTGTTGCATGACAGAGCTGCCAGTTAAAGTATGACAGTGTTGAATAGAAAAACATGGCCTGGTCATGAAGGGGGTAAAACCTTCCGGAGATTAAACAGTTGTCTAGACTGCCCAATACTCTTTTCAACCTTTTTAACACATATTTGCATTCCATCTCAGGGCAGTGACAATCTTCCTTGGTCCTAACAGGACTTGAACCAAGGACCTTTAAAGTTGAATCACAAGGCATTATTTTACAGAAAGCTGCAACATTTAGGAATGAAAAAGAACTCCAGCCTTACCGTCAGTCCTGCAGAGTTGTACAGGCTTCTGTCCTATATTAAAAATAATATCTGATTTCACTGAGCTTTTCCCAGTGTGCATTTGAAGCTACAGTAAGTCATACAGAGTCTGCTTTATATCTTTGATGGAGGACATCCAGCATCCTCTTGGATTTTCCTTCCCTGTCTAACTATCCTTGGTCCTATCCTTTCATTCATTCTATTTCAATTCGTTCAATCATGGGGATTCAGCATCACCTGTGGGTATTACCTAGGGCAGCACAGAGATACAGTGACGTCACTGGTCTAAAATAAGGCATGTAATGGAAGGTGGTTTTGTCAGAAGGCAGATGGAAGTGAGAATTTTCTCTTTTCACTGAACACTCTCTTTAGTTTGTGGTCTAGAGCAGGGGTCTCCAAACTTTTTAAACAAAGGGCCAGTTTACTGTCCTCCAGACTTTAGAGGGACCACACTGTGGCCTGTGGGAGTAGAAAATATCCCAGCATCTGTTGGAATAAACAGTGCCCCATTCTTCGTGTCATTAAGAGGAATTGTGCCTCATCATTGGTGTCATTGGGCCCCATTCTTGGTGTCATTGGTAGAAATAGTGCCTCATCATTGGTAGGAATAGTGCCCCATCATTGGCTCATTGGTAGGAATAGTGTCTCATCATTGGTGCCATTGGTAAAAATAGTGCCCAGTCATTGGGTGTGATTGGAAGGAATTGTGCCCCATCGTTGATGTCATTGGGAGGAATCACGACCCATCATTGGTGTAATTGGTAGGAATAGTGCCCCAACATTGATGTCATCGGTAGGAATAGCGTGCCATCATTGGTGTGATTTGGAGGAATTGTACCCCATTGTTGATGTCATTGGGAGGAATTGTGCTTCATCACTGGGGTCATTGGGAGGAAGTGTGCCCCATCATTAGAGTCATTGGGCCCCATTGTTGATGTCATAGGGAGGCACTGTGCCCCATCATTGGTATCATTGGGGGGAAGTGTGCCCCATCATTGGTATCATTGGGATGAATTGTGCCCCTTCATTAGAGTCATTGGGCCCCATTGTTGATGTCATGTGGAGGAACTGTGCCCCATCAATGGTATCATTGGGAGGAATGATGCTCCATCATTGGCATCATTGGCCATTGGAATTATGGCCATCGTTACTGTGCCCCATTATTTTTGTCATTGGCAGGAACGGAACTGTGCCCCATTGTTGGTGTCATTGGCAGGAACTGTGCAACATTAGTGTTGGTGAATGAAATAGTTCCCAAGGGGCTGGAAAAAGACAAGCAAAGGGTTACATCCGGCCCCCAGGCTGCAGTTTGTAGACCACTGTTCTAGAGGGAATTTCCCTTCCCTTTCATCATATATATATGGGAGGACGAGTCTAGTTCTTTCACTTGGGATGTCAGCAGCAGAACAGACAAAATGATCCAATGAACACAGGATAGCTCCCCCTGGGGAAAAAGCTCTGGAGCAAAGGAGGCCTAAGGCTTGGAACTAGCACACCATGTGATATCACTGAGTACACTACAGCACCCCTCCTGAAAACCATGTGTCATATTGGGGCATCATCAGAACAGTTACAAGAATATACCACAGGACTTGGAAACTGAATTCTTGAAATGATGCATTAATACCAATGAACTGGACAGTTGAATAGGATGTACCCTGTATTAACCGCTTGCCAACTGGCCCATGCAAATATACTGTGGGCCTGCGGCTCTCCTGTGCCAGATCTCGTACATGTTTGTGATTTGGTATTTCCAGGTAGGGAATTGCTACAGCTCAATGGCTGGGTCCTAACTGACTGGTTGAGCAAATGACAGAAGAAAGCCCTGTGTTGGTAAACAACACAGGGTTCTCTAAAGACAGCAGCGGTGTGCCTTTTTTTTTTTCTCCCTGCAAAGCAGGGAGTAAGAACCATCATATTGCTTAGTAAAATCAGCACACAGTACCTGTAGTAAACATTGTTAGGCACACAGTTAACCTTTTGATTGCCCCTAAATGTTAACCCCTTCCCAGCCAGTGTCATTAGTACAGTGACAGTGCATATTATTAGCACTGATCGCTGTATAAGTGTCAGTGGCAGTTAGTCAGTTCCCACAAAGTGTTAATGTCAGATTGCCCACTGCACTATCATAGTTCCACTATAGGTCTCTGATCACCGCCATTACTAGTATATATATATATATATATATATATATATATATAAGAAAATTCCGGTATATATACTGTACCATCATTTGTAGACTCTATAACTTTCACGCAAACCAATTAATATACACTTATTGGGAATTTGTTTTTTACCAATGGCATGTAGCAGAATACATTTTGGCCTAATATTATGAAGAAATTATATTTTTTTCATTTTTTTTATTGGACATGTTTTGTCACAGAATGTAAAAAAGGTTGGTTGCTTTAGTGTCAAAAAAAGCAGCCTGACAGTGTTTATAAATAACACTTGCTCAGATGCTACAGAAAGATACAATGTAACTTATTGTTAGATTTGTAGAATTCTATTCATTGATCTGTAGATCAAAGGGATGAACTTCAATCTGCAGATACATGTTAGTTAAAGCCACCTGACAAGTGAAAAAAGTTGTTTAAAAAAAAAAAAAAATGTTCCTCTGTTTAACCCCTTATTTTACTCTTTTTTTGGTTTACTCTAATCGAATTACTCCTTATTCTCCTTCTCCATCCAATTATTATTTTCCTGCTGATTTTTTAGTTTTTTTGTTTTTTATTTACCATTAATATTTAAACTTTATTTGTTTTTGTTTGTTAATGTTTTTTTACACCTTTAACATATATTTATACATTTCACATTTAAAAAAGCTTACAAATAAAAAAAAAACCTGCTTTATTTAATTTGTAAATAACTTTGCAATGCTTTGCACCAGAATCATAATTTTAGTGTCATTTTAAATAGGACCAGTTATAGATTAAAATTAACTCATTTTACAGTGCTGTGAAAAAGTATTTTTTTTTGCACATTTGTCACACTTAAATGATTCAGATTAAACAAATTTTAATATTACACACAGATAACCTTTGAGTAAATGCAAAATGCAGTTTTTAAATGATGATTTCATTTATTAAGGGAAAAAACATGTTCAAACCTGCCTGGCCCTATGTTAAAAAGTAATTGCCCCCTAAACCTAATAACTGGTTGTGCCACCCTTGGAGGCAACAACTGCAGTCAAGCATTTGCGATAACTGGCAATGAGTCTTTCACATTGCTGTGGAGAATTTTGGCCCACCCTTCTTTGCAGAATTGTTTTAATTCAGCCACATTGGAGGGCTTTCAAGCATGAACAGTCTGTTTAAGCTCATGCCACAGCAACTCAATTGGATTTAAGTCCAGATGTACGGCTACTCCACAACCTTAATTTTGATTTTTTTTTTTTGTAGCCAATTGGGTGGACTTGCTGGCGTGTTTCGGGTCTTTGTCCTGCTGCGTCAAGTGCGCTTGAGGTCATGGACTGATGGTCAGACATTCTCCTTCAGGATTTCCTGGGATAGTGCAGGATTCATGGTTCTACCAATTATGGCAAGCCATCCAGG